ACTTAAGGACAACATGTCTGTCTATGCCATAATGCAGTGCAGGGCTTATTAATGACCAGTGATCAGAAGGGGTTATATCCCTGCTGGCACAGGAAGTGGCCCTAGACTCACAGATGAGCTATACACATCACTCAAAGTGAGCACTGCTCATAACTTTTTAAAATACCACAGCTAAACGATCTTGCTCGGCTGAGTTATTTCTTTCACTGCCCCTAGCCTCCAATGTTTAGAAAAAAAAAAAAAAAAGGAACCCCATGTATCTTTTGATACCCAGGAATCAACTTTGTCAGTTGGGACACCTGTTGTTCACATCCCTTTAAATGCAGCGGTAGCACAATTGCACTACTGGGGTAAATCTACAAATTATTTTAGGTCCCCAAGCCTGGCACAGTAACCCAAAGTTTCAGAAAGACACAGAGTATCTGAAAAGTCCATGGGGAGGTCGTCCTGTCTGCCCCCTGCACTCACACTGTAGAGAGGGCTCACAGAGCCCTCTATACTATGAGCTAATAAACCCCTCTGTTGATGTCAGTGCTGACATCAGCAGATGGAATCTCTTAAAAGGTGGGGTTAAGGGGTGGTTTTAAGACTGGGATTATAGTTATGATTATGGGTTGAATTAGGGATAGGAAAAGTAGGAAAAGGGTCTGGATCAAAAATTGCATTAAGGGTTGGATGAGGGAAAATGTATTCATGTGGGGTATTATTGCACACTAGCAGAATACAAATATGTGGTGTTTGCAGTAGTGGGACATGCGCGGTCTACAGAAAAAAAACCCCACAAAATTAACTAGTTTGACCTAGGTTTGTGATAAAATGGTTAAATGAAATGTGTCGAAAGGCTCTAAATTACATAGCCTTCGGGATGTACTTTTTACAAATATATACATTTATGTATCAGTTTTGGATTCTGTGACTATTAAAGTTGTAATTTTAGCATGTCAATTGTTGCAAAGTTTTACCACTAAAACAACAATTTACTAATTACATTATTTGTTTTATAACTTCTAAAAACTGAATTCCTAGACATTTTGGGGCATTTTAACAATCAGGACTAATTAGTGAATCTATTTTTAGTTGCTTTTATTTACTTGCACTTGATTAAAGGATAGGAGTAAAAATGAATGTGTGCTTTTCCCTTTTTTATTGTCTATTTAAAATAGCATTATGTATACATACAGGGTTTTAAAGGAAAGCCCCAATTCGTCCTACACTTAAATAGAAAGGGGTAGAATTAATGCATGGCAAAATAAAACGGCGAAAGGCCTTGGCCACAAACACATATCTCAAAAAAGCCTTGATCCTTATGCGGTTAAATTAGGTCCTTTTAAATATTTTTGCTATAAAAATAACCTTGAGTAAACATGTAATTTCAGAATGTTCTGATCTACAAACAATTTGTCAGGCTGTAGCAACAATAAGAACAGATTATTCTCTGGGCCTAGACTTGGTGCACACACCAGTAACATGCGGCTAAATAATACAGTATGTGTATATTACAGGGCCCCAGGATGACTTTGCTAATTTATCCTCTTTAAGAAAATCTCAGCATGCCTCAGGTATGCGTTTCTGGGAGATTGAATAGACGCTGAACCCTCTTACAAAGAAACACTTAGGTCTGCTGCCAAAGACAACCAGACAATTGTTTACGACACGCAAGCACGTCTGGGGGTTGCAGTTCAAACTCACATAATCTCAACGTTCGCAAGCGTAATAAACAACTACATCTCCCGAAAGCCTGTGCGCGGCACGTACGGAATACAAACAACGAGGCAGGATTTTCTTAGAATCCCGTGACGTAAGAACACAGACTAGCCAATCACAATAAAATAAAGTGGAATGTCAACAATCAAGAAGGAAGAACACGTGACAAGCGAGGGACAGCGGCCTGTGTTGCTAGGTAGGAAAGAAACAAGTATGGAACTCACTAAAGCATTTTCATAAATATGTATAATTAACTCCAGTAACAAACCTTATTGCATTGAACATAAAATTCCGAATGATAATAGCACATAGTAGCAATATTTTAAAACTTACACGTAGATTATTTTACAAATATGTCCATATGAACTGTAATTCTCTTAACATTTGAACCAATGGAATAAATACATTTACATAAATCTCAAAAATGTAAGGGATTACCTTGAAATCATACAGGGCGACAATGTTTTCATGTTTCAGCTCCTACAATAAAAATTATATTAAATAATAAAATCCATTATATGCTCAGTTTATTGTATGTAATTTAGAATTAATAAAATGGCCAATATAATGCTGCTCTCACCTTGAGTATTTTAATTTCTTTCCCTAAAACAGATTGGGATTTAGCCAGTTTTCGCTTGTTGATGGCTTTAATTGCAACCTGAAAGCCTTGTTTCTGGAAAAAAATATAATAATAATAATAATAATAATAAGTACATTCATGTAAAACACAGTGGGGCCTGTATATGAAGGGAAATGTACAAAGCCATTTAGTACACATCATATTCAGAAGCAAAGCTGGGTATCAATTCCACTTGCCCAGACTTGCCCTTCCCCACTATAGTTCAGCAACTAATGATGTTGTTAGAATGAATACTGGCACAAGATGGATATCATTAGCCTTTTTCTATCCAGTGATTCCAAGAATAGATCTAATCTTAGAAGTCTACTAGTTTTCTAACAGTGTACCCTATTAAATTGCAAAGCTATGTCCCAGCGGCTTAAATCATGTGTTGTGCTAGATAGATAAACATCCACATTACACGTTTGCCCTCTGCCCATCACAAAGAGGGGACAGAAAGGCACTACTTTCAGCCAAACGTAACACACTGATACTTTTAATGATATAGATACTGAATACACATGTGGATTGAAGTTTCAAATAAGAAAAATATTACTCTTGATTTTAAACAACGGAGATTATGTATAAAGCTTAATTCTGGGGTTAAATTCTAAAAGTGGGGCAGTCAATATAGAAACCAATGTGATGTCCCTGTTGCTTTTTTAACTTTCCCCCAGTATTATTCTTCGTAAACAGCCCCACATGAATATGTTATTCTTTAAATATCCCTGTAGGTGTCTATGCCAGCCCCTGTATCGTGAGGGCTGCCTGTCTGCCCCCTGGGATGTGAGATCCAGTTTACCTCTAGGTGTCTGCCTTTGTAAACAGCAGCAAAGGCTCCAGTCCCGATGAGATCCTTCTTATTGAACTCAAACTTGCCCACTGTCACGACCTCCTCGTCTTCCTTCCTGGCAGCAAATAGAGGCGAAGGTGGCGAGAACATGATTCGTAATGCTGATAATAATAATAAAAATTAATAATAATAATAGTGACAGGAGGATGGGGGGTATTTGGAGGGTCCAAGTCAGGAAGTGAGGAGCAGCTGGAAGAGGAGGGCTGCTCGCCTGTCAATCTCCCTGCAGCTGAGGATCAGGCTCCTGGGGGTCACTGGCATGGGCTGCTGCTCCCTGCTTTCTGACCCACCCTGAGGCATGTTACTGGGTATAGGGTGTGGAGGCCCAGCCTGGGGAGTGGGGGGTTAACAGAGAAGGACAGGGGGTCCCCCGCCATGAAAGCGGCTGGTGAATGCCATGGTGACGGGGAGAACTCAGAAAGCTCATGCAACCCCTCTCTCAGCCCCCCTTCGTAGGTTATAGGCCCTTCCCGTTCACACAGAACACAGTGCTGTTTGTCAGGCCCCTGTGCGGTGATGGGGAGCCTGCTTGTCGCTATGCTGCTGCTGCCTCTGTCACCGCTGGATAATACGGGCCGCGACTAATTGTACAACGCAATATTGTGTGGCTGAGAGTGCTGCGCATGCGCACAATCACTGGACTGACAGCCCCCGCCGCGCATGCGCGTTGAGTGGGACTGCCAGCAGCGTTAGTGTGAATAGGGGGTCTCAGAGTGTCCAGGTGGGAGCCACTTGTTTGTACATAGGTTAGGTGGAGAGCACCAGGTTTGAGGGAGTAAACAGAAGGCTCCTATAGCTTTAATGTCAGGCAGCATCGATAGTATATTTTCTATTCTGTAGAAAGTCATTGTCAGCTGGAATGTTGTTGCTTTCCATGCTGTAAAATATAATAGCCATTTAAATCTAATGGTCCAATGTAATCATAGGGAAATGTCTAACGTTTGGGCATAAGTTAATCATATGTAAAAGTCTAATTCAAGTATATATGGAATGTTGAGTATATTGTTTACCAACTATTAGATGTAACGTGTGTATTATTTAAAGGAACACTCCAAGCGTGACGCTGACAAGTTTTTTCCTGCCTGTATTGAAACACCTAAAACAAAAATAATGTTTTATTAAAAAGGTTACTCCACCATAGGTGTTGGTAGAGGGTTTGAAGCCGTGCTTGTAGAACTCTTCAACCCCAGATCTCTACTAGTTGTGGAGGGGACAGAATCATAATAGTCTTTATTTTATTATTTATTTCACTTAGAGCAGTTGCCTGATATAAAAAGAAAGATCATTACTATCGTATAGTGCTCTGCAAGGTTGAGTGAGGGTGCTTGGGAACAGCACTTTGCTGCATATCCCTCTGTTAGCTAGATACCATGATGCAATCAGCATGTGCTAGTTTTCACTGGTATCCTGGGAAGAACAAACTTCATGCTGTTCATGGGTAGAGAGTAGGAGATATAAAATAGACAGAGAGTACATGTGATGACATAACTCCACCTATCTGTTGGTGTAGAGCATGGGTCGTCAACCTGGTCCCTACCGCCCATTAGTGGGCGTTTCAGGATTCCAGGTGGGCGGTAGGGATTTCCTCATTTGGAGAGATTGGGTGGGCGGGTGCGAGCCGGCGGTACCCCTGCGACAGGGTACCACCATCACCATCTGCGGCCCAGTCCAAGGGGTCCATTGGGTGGCCCATGCTGTCAGGGCCACCGGATGGATGTGGATTGTGAGGGGGCCTGGTCAGCACTGGGCGCTTTATCAGTGCGACCGGGCCCCCTGTGATTACATCACAGAGCTGGGAGGAAGTGACTGCACGTCCCTCCTCCCAGCTAACAGAGAGCCGTGCGGGAGGAAGACCAGGGAGTCAGAGTGGGAACTCTGACTCCCATCCACCTGAGCCACCAGTGGACCCCAGGGAATGTCACCATCCTGCACCTTAAAGGTAGGAAACATAAACACATTAAATATAATATGTGTGTGTGTCTTTGTATGTGTGTCTTTGTATGTATGTCGTGTGTGTATGTGTGTCTTGTCTTTGTATGTGTTGTGTGTGTCTTGTCTTTGTATGTATGTGTCTTGTGTATGTGTGTCTGTATGTGTGCCTGTATGTGTCATGTGTGTGTGTGTGTATGTGTGCCTGTCTGTTTGTATGTATGTGTCTTTGTATGTATGTGTGTCTGTATGTGTGCCTGTCTGTTATAGTGGGCTATAGTAAGTGGGCTACCTAGCTCAGCCTTCCTGCTGGGCATTGCTATAAGTAAGGTTAAAAAATAGAAAAAAAGGGGAAAAAAAGGTAGGGAGGGGAATTGAGGAGGGAGAGAAGGGGAGCTGACGCACAGATGAGAAATCATATTATGTGCAGAGAAGTCGTCTGAATATCACCGAAAGAGGAGACCTTTGTTTGTTCCTTACGAAAATCGAACCAGATTTCAAATATTTAATCTCGCAGCATCAGCCTCAAGGTTCTCATTAATCTCTAGTAAAGGTAATTTCAATTTACTTTATTGTTTTCTCATTAAACTTTATAAAGTTAAAAACATTATAAACATGCATTAAGTCGAAATAAAAAGATAAATGTACGTACATTTATTTATTTTAAAACGCCCTCCTTTCTAAAAAATATTCCGCACTTGCGTGAAAACTGGTGGGCTGTAAGGAAATTTTTCCATCAAGAAAGATGCATTAGTGGGCGGTAGGAAGAAAAAGGCTGACTACCACTGGTGTAGAGTTTATAACGTTAAAGGGACACTCCAGGCACCCAGACCACTTCTGCCCATTGGAGTGGTCTGGGTGCCAACTCCCACTACCCTTAACCCTGCAAGTGTAATTATTGCAGTTTTCATAAACTGCAATATTTACCTTGAAGGGTTAAGTCCTCCTCTAGCGGCTGTCTACTAGACAGCCACTGGAGGACACTTCTGTGTTCATAGAACACGAAAAGTGTGTTATAACGACGCTGGAGGTCCTCACGCTATGTGAGGACCTCCAGCGTCGCCGAAATCCCCATTTGAAAGCATTATTCAATGCTTTCCTATGGGGAGGTCTAATGCGCACGCACATTAGGTCTCCCTCACCGCCAGCCGCACATGCTCAATAGGTCTCCCCCGCCCGGGGCGGAACGTAAGTGGAGCCTGACCCAGCGCCGAGGGACATCGGCGCTGGATACAGGTAAGTCACTGAAGGACTTTTAACTCCCTCAGCAACATGGGATGGGGGGTGGGAGGGAGAGGGAACCTGCAGTGTGAAAACTGTTTGTTTTCCTGGCACTGGAGAGTCCCTTTAACCCCTTAAGGACACGTGACATGTCATGATTCCCTTTTATTCCAGAAGTTTGGTCCTTAAAGGGTTAAGCTTTGGGCTCATGTACAGATGTTTCTGGAGCCTAGCAAACCCCCCCACACCCCATGTCCAGCAGGGTAAACACTGCAGTGCTCTGTAGTGGCTGTGGTGCCAGGAGTGCCTTGGTGCTCCTCCAGTGTAAGTAGTCAAGCTGTTTGCTAACGGTTTTACTTCTTACTCGAAATCCACTGGGCAGATGATTCGCAATACGAAACAAGTGAAGCCGACAATGGACAAAATTGTTTCGTGGTTCGGAGTTCTGTCTACAGTGCCAAAAAGCTAATTGATGAGAAAACAGATATTGGAACACTGTAAAGTTCACATTGAACCAGGGTCGGTGCTGCCATAAGACAAATAAGGAATTCACCTGGGGCGCTAACCTGTGTGGGGTGCTATGGGCCACAGGAGGATTTTTACCCTATTTTCCTTAAAGGGACACTATAGTCACCAAAACAACTTTAGCTTAATGACCCAGTTTTGGTGTATAGAACATGCCCCTGCAGCCTCACTGCCCAATTCTCTGCCATTTAGGAGTTAAATCACTTTGTTTATGACCACTAGTCACATCTCCCTGCATGTGACTTGCACAGCCTTCCTAAACAATTCCTGTAAAGAGTCATCTAAAGTTTATCCTTTCTTTATTGTAAGTTCTGTTTAATTTAGATTTTCTTATCCCCTGCTATGTTAATAGCTTGCTAGACCCTGCTAGAGCCTCATGTATGTGATTCAAGTTCAATTTACAGAGAAAGAGATACAATTGTTTAACCCCTTAAGGACTGGACTGTTTTTGCGATGTTGTACATTTGCGACCAGGCTTCTTTTTACACTTTTGTGGTGTCTGTGTTTAGCTGTAATTTTCCGCTCTCTCATTTACTGTTCCTATACAAATTATATATTTTTTTTTAGGACAAAAAAAGCTTTCTTTACATACCATTATTTATATAATCTCATGTAATTTAATTTAAAAAAAAAATATGATGAAATTTTTTTAAAAAATACCGTTTTTTTTTACTTTTACTTGAAAAATCTACAAAAGTGAATAAAAGTGAATAAAAAAAATTGGAAAATAAACACTTTACTTTTTAGTAAGTGTTCTCAGCTCCATTTCTTTGGTTGAACAGAAGATCCTCAGAAGGAGAGGGACATCCTACTAATAGTCCCAGTGCTGTTTCCATGAGAGCCACATGTCTTTGTTTGGCTCTCGGTTTGTGAGTACTTGACCACTTTTACTTACATCTTTGCCACCAAGTTGCCGACAATATTACACTATATTGCTGTTTATTTATTTTTTGTCTAGATATTGTAAGAAGTGTGATCCACCTACTGTATGTAATGCTTTATGTTTATTTGAGAGTGGTATAAGGGGTTTCCCACTCAGGTGTTAGATCGCACTCGCACTGTTCTCACTGTATTTATTATATCTTTTACTCTTTTAGGGTTACTATGTTGCCCTTGATGTCGTTTCCCATTAACCCCAGGAAGGGGGGGGGGGGATTGTTATCGGAGCTGGTGTGCTTGGCTCTGGTGGGCCTTTTTAGCACTGTAATGGCCGTCAGAGTGTGGGAGAACTACATATAACTTAAATGAACAGTCTTATTAACTTAAAATATTTAAACTAATTAAACTAAGGCCTATTTTTCGGGCCTCTGCTTGTTCCAGGGGTTGCGGATGAATCTGTGCTCGTTGTCCCTGGTCGATGATCTGGCTGTGTCTCTGAGGTCACTGCGAGGTTCGATATTCCCAATGTGGTCATCAGTGCTGGGCCCTCTGTGTGGTCGGTGGCCCTGTAGTGCTTGTCATCTTTAGTGATCCAGAGAGTTCCTGGTGTTGCCCATCTATAGGCGACTCCTGCGGCTTGGAGTTGTTTGGTGATTGGTTGCATACTTTTGCGCCATATCAGTGTGGCCCTGCTCAAGTCCTGAAAGAAGGAGAGTTTGCTATCTTCAAAGTCAAGAGGTGTCTTCCCTTGGATAGCTGCCATTAGCACCAGTTTGTCCAACATTGATTGGCATCTCAATATTATGTCCCGTGGGGCTGAGTTGGGTGCTTGTGGGGATTTGGTTATCCTGTAAACCCCGTCGAACTGGAACGTTTTGGATTGTCTAGTCGGTAGGAGTGTGGCCACAAGGCGTCTGGTGAAGTGTGGCAACTCTTCCAGCGGTATTGATTCAGGTACCCCTCGGATTTTTATGTTTTTTATTCGGCGCCCTCTGTCATCTAGGAGGGTAACTTGCCTGGACATTGTCGCTTGTGCAGCTTGAAGGTGTCGCACCTTCTACCCCCAGTTCCTGGTAATTCTCTCTTAGTCCCTTTACCTCCTCTTCTACCGCCTGAGTGTGCGTGGACACGGCGTGCACGTCTAGTTTAAGCACTGCCAGGTCCGCTTCCCACATTTGTCTTAAGTTCTGTTGCAGGCCTGTCAGCATAGACTGTATATCTTGTTTTGAGGCCGGTGCGCTGGCTTCTGGCATCCACGTGTGTGTGGGGTGTTGGGGATTAAGGTGTAGGCTGTCTAGCGGTTCTCCCTCCTCTGATGGTACTGGGGATGTTTCACGGGGTGTCTGTGCCTTTACTGCGCCTGGGGCCTGTAACATTTGGCCTATGTCGTGCTGCGGTTTCGGGGCGTTTTGGGGCAGTTTCTGCGTTCTGCGCCCCAACTCACCTGAGCTGTGTGTGCTGGGGTACCAGTCCTCAAAGTCTGGGACACTCCAGGGCCAGTGTTCTCCCATGCTGGGTTGAGGCTGCCTCCCCGCCCGGTAGGCCTTGCCGCCTTAGCGTCTATTTTTTGAGCCGGGTGTCAGGAGAAACGGCATCGGCGGTCGCAGTGGGGTTCCCTGCGGTCTGTGGCTGAATGTGTGGCCGGGATTAATGTGAGATGCCTTCGATGTTGCCGGATTGCCGTGCGGTACCTCGGAGCCCCGGCAATGTGCGTCCGCTCTGGTACGTTGCTAGGCTCCGCCCCATCTTACGTGTATTTTGATATAAATATATATATTTTAATATCAAAATACAGTTAGAATAAAATTTCATATAGATATATAATTTTTTTTAATTTTTATTATTTTAATTTTTTTTTATTTAATCTACTTATTATTTGTATTTTATAATAATAATAATAATATATATACAATATATATAGTTATATATGTGTGTGTAATTTAATTATAAGTGTATTTTTATATTAATATATGTACAAATTAATATAAAAATACACTTAGTATGACTATATATATATATAGATGTACACATATATAATTTTTTTTTTTTTATTAACATTAACTTTTATTTTTTTAATGATTTTACACTAGCAGGGAGACTGCCCGTCAGCACAGCCAGTCCCCCTGCAGGCAGACACATGGACACCTATTGTGACCATGTGATCACTCTGTTGAGCGATCACATGGCCCCAGGGATCCTAATCCGCCATGGGGAGACTGTCTGGGCTGCAGGCAGTCTCCCCACACCGGCAGCACTGCCGATCACCGCCGGGGGAACGACGGCGATCGGGTAAGTGCATCTTACCATTGTGACGGTTCAGGACCGGCAGCGGTAGGCAACGCAAAAATGACGATGACGGTCCTGAACCGTCCTCGGTCCTGAAGGGGTTAAGGTAAATTACATCTGATTGAAAGTGAAACCAGTTTTTTTTTTCATGCAGGCTCTGTCAATCATAGCCAGGGGAGGTGTGGCTAGGGCTGCATAAACAGAAACAAAGTGATTTAACTCTTAAATGACAGTGCATTGAGCAGTGAAATATGAGGCATGATCTATACACTAAAACTGCTTTATTAAGCTAAAGTTGTTTAGGTTCCTTTAATATTCTGGCTTTCATGTCTGCCTAAGCACAGCATATGTTGATTGGAAAGAACATTTCAATGCAAACAACCATCCCCCTATCAGTTGGTTTTCAAGCCCCCTCTCCCCCCAGTAGAAGGTATGATAGGTCACAGACAGGGAAACAGGTCCATGTTTTGCTGATTTAACCCCATGCCTGCCTGTGGAAACTGACTCGCTCTGAAACAGTGTACTTCATTCACTTTAAAAATCATTTAGAACTTTAAAATTAACTCGGTATACCCTCAATATGCCCTCAGTATACATTTTGTCACTACTCTTATTAATAACACTTTCATTGGCAGTGTGTGTATGTATATATACTAGGCAATCTGTATGTATATATTGAGTAGTGTGTGTATGGATGTTCTGGGCAGTGTCTTTGTATGTGGATGTATGTATTGTGGGCCGTGTATGTATGGATGCCTGTATTGTGGACAGTGTGTTTATTGATGTATGCACTGGGCAGTGTATACGTATGGATGTTTGTATAGGGCAGCGTGTGTGTATGGATGCATGGAAATCGGCAGGGGGGAGGGGATAATTAGGGTCTGTTTGGAGATATAGTCCTGAACGTAGGTCCTGTAGCCTAAAATCTTTTTGCCCTGATAGGGTGCAACGATCTGTGTGCCCGCTATCCTTAAGAGTGGAAGCAGTGTAGTGACGGAGATAGAGGGAATATGGCATTCTTTCATGTTCCCTGTGTATCTTTATCACTGTGCTGTTTCCTGTCTCCGCTGATATAAACTCAGAGAGCTGAGCATGGAGATGGACAGCAGAAGGGGCAGAAGAGCCTGGGGACATTGAAAATGAAGAGCAGGGATGGAAGAATGCTGTCAGCTCTCCCTACAGGAGGCTTGTGTGGCCACTGGCCCTTAAACAGATACCGGTTTTGTATTATTGTGTGCCTGGGTGTACCTGTCTGTGTTTTTCTCTGTATACCGATTTGTGTCAGTCTGCGTGTGCCTGTATTTATTTACGTATGACTGTGTGCCTGTCCGTGTCAGTTTCCACCTGTCTGTGTATCTGTCCCTGACTGTGTCTGTCTGTGTGCGCATAGATGTGTGAGTCTATCTGTGTCTGTGTGTATGTAATTGATTGTGAGTATGTCAGGAGGCATGTTATTTGGGAAGGACCAGGGATGGGTCATTTGGAAGGGGCACTTTATATACTAAGCTGTGTGTGTATAGGTAGTGTCTCTGTTTCTTAAATATCTCAACAGTATCTCTCCTTTCCCTAAAAGTTTCCCCGGTCCATCTCCTTTCCCTAAATGTCTACCTGTTCTTTCACCTTTCCTACATATATGCCCAGTCCGTTCCCTAAATGTCTTGTAATTAAGCAGTTTTAATGTTTAGAGCATGCCCCTGCAGTCTCTTTGCTCGATTCTCTGCCATTTAGGAGTTAAATCACTTTGTTTGTACAGACCTAGTTACACTACCCTGCATGTGTCTTGCATAGTCTTCCAAAACACTTCCTGAAAAATATCCTAGGTATTCTAGACAGGGATGTATCCATCGAAAGGCAAACAAGGCATTTGCCCTGGGCGGCACTTTCCAGGGGGCGGCAAAAAATTTAGCCCCCAAATGCCCAGGCTAATGCCTTGTTTGCTTCGTTTTATGGGGGCCCAAGAGCTGGCTGGCCACCTTTAGGCCCCCCTGGGGCAGGCAGCAATTTGTTTTCTGAGCGGGCGCGACCAGCAGTGATCCCGGGAGCCGGAATATGACGTCAGTGTGTCAGTGAATGTGTATGTGTGTGTGTGTGTCTGTCAGTAAGTGGGTGCGTCTGTCAGTGATTGTATGCGTCTGTCGTTGTGTGTCTGAATGATTGTATGTTTCTGTCAGATTGTGTCAAATCAGTGAGTGTATGTGTGTATATGTCAGTGTATTTGAGACTTGTGTGCTGGCCCGTGAGTGTGTGTCTGCCAGTCAAAATGTGTGTTAATTAACAGGAAGAGATGTGGCCTTGGCAAGAAAGGGTGGGTAAATTTAAATTAGGGAGTGCCCGAGATCTGCCATGCCTAGGGCAGCACCATTTCAAAATACACCACTGATTCTAGGTTCCTTTTTTTGCACAGTCTGCTTAATCTTTAATTTTGTATCTCCTGCTCGGTTAATAGCCTCCAAGACCCTGCAGGAGCCTCCTGTCTGAAAATTAGAGCTCAATTTACAGAGCAGGAGCAGGCTGAGGTGTGGCTAGGGTTGCAAAATCAGAAACAAAAGTTAATTAACTCCCAGGGAATATGCACACCACAGGCTGCTGGCCATCTGGTCGCGTGAGTGTCCACCAGGAAGCGGCCACCTGAGGGAGAATAGAGGCTACAAAGGAGCTGTACTCTTCATGAACTTCCAGCACTGCCCCCTCATGTGCACTGTTTAGTCTATCTATTTAGAGGCTGGACTGACATCATAACCCGGCTCCCAGTATCACCACAGGCGGACAACAGGAGCAGTGCAGGATAAGCATAAAGATTACACAAGCCCCACAATGAATCCCAGGGAGAGGATCCACTCCAGCTCTCCCAAATGTAGGGAAACTGGGTGGACTTAAATGTCAGTGCCCTCTGTTTATAAATGTGTGTGTCAATGTCCTCTGTGTGTAAATGTGTATGTCATTGTCCTCTGTGTGTTTATGTGTGCATTATATTTTCATTTTGTGACTTTTATACTTCAGATTAATCATTCATATGCTCCTCCTTACATACACAATGTTCACATTATGTCATATTTATTTTAAAAAAATTCTTTACAGTGTCCTCTGTAGGGCTTTAATCAGGCTTGCAAGTTCATACTCATTGCTTAGAGCAGGGATGGGGAATCTTCGGCCGTCCAGTTGTTGTGGACCACATCTCCCTTGATGCTTTGCCAGCATTATGGTTGTAAGAGCATTATGGGAGATGTAGTCAAAAACATCTGTAGGGCCAAAGGTTGCCCATCCCTGGCTTAAAGGGACACTATAGTAACAAATAAAACTTTAGTTTAATGAAGCAGTTTTGGTATTTAGATCATGCACCTGCAGTCTCACTGCTCAATTCTCTACCATTTAGGAGTTAAATCAGTTTGTTTATGCAGCCCTAGTCACACCTCCCTGCATGTGACGTTCACAGCTTTCCTAAACACTTAATGTAAATAGTCAAATAATGTTTACACTTCCTTCTGTTTAATTTAGCATTTTTTATCTCCTACTCCATTAATAGCCTTCTATAACCTGCAGTGACCTCCTGTGTGTAATTAAAGTTCAATTTACAGAGCAGGAAATAAAAACTTCTAAACTAAGTTACAGCTGACTAAAAATTAACATCTGTTTTAATGAAGGCTGTCAGTCACAGCCAGGGGAGGTGTGGCTAGGGCTGCATAAACAGAAACAAAAGTGATTTAACTCCTAAGTGGCAGAAAATTGAGCAGTGACTATAGTGTCCCTTTAAGATAGAGGCTCATTATTCGCACTGGAATAAAGTAGTGAATTATTATTTTCATTGATGGGATGGACCTAGGTTTCTAAAAAGTCCATACCCATTGTGATACGTTTTGCCTGTCATGTTGTAAAGTGCAGCTAAAAATCCAGAGCTATACACTGTTTAATCCTATACAGGACAGATCCAATAGACAATCATGGATAATATTTTGATTTGTATGGTAGGAGATGTTCTCTTTTTTTTATCTAACACAAAATGTTATCTATGCATTTCATAGTAATTTGTACCTAGCACAATATACAAATAACATTTTATTACCATCAAAGTGCCATCCTATTGTACTTGCATAGCATGGATGCAATTTAAAGCAAGGATTCAAGGATGAAATTTCGACATTATTATTTCGAAACCACTGATTAGCGAATGAACTGTACTGAGAAAACATGAATCCCCATCATAAAGACTGACAGTATAATATCCCAGATAGTGAAAAAAACCTGAATCCCCATCATAAAATACTGACGGTACCATATCCCAGATAAACCCCAACTGCCCCAGATAACTAACCTAGCCCAGGAGACCAGGTGAATAAACAACAAGTCAGTCAAACCAACAAACAAGGGGAGAGAGAAACTGGGAGGGAAATATTCGCCTCCTGTCATTAATAAAATTAAGATTATAGTTACACTAAAGCTAGTATAATCTACAATTTTATAGCATGACAGGAGGCTTCATATTTGCTATTTTAACGCTCGGACAGCAAAGACCATAGAAACACGATCCGCCGTACCAACCTAAACTCTGCGAAGATAGCTCCTCGTAACAGGCAGGAAAGCGTACGATGTCTTGGAGAAAACCGCCCGCCATGTCGGTACCTGAAGTCGCCGTGTTACGGACTGAAGTGAACCGAAAAAACCTATACGCCCCACCAATGCCAACCACAACTAAGCGGTACATGAAGGGCGAGAAAAAGGGAAAAACCATTTAAACAAACGGTGACGTCGAACATCGCCTAAAGGTGGGAGCGCTACCAAAGTAAGAATATGACCATCAGATCCGACTAAGGCTGATAGACAACTAAGGTCCGAACCGCCGAACCCATCTGAAAGAAAAACAAGGTATAATAACGGAAATAACTCCAGAATCAGTGAATGGGCAAAACCCGACAGAACCCTCCAAAGGAGCATGATAAAAATGCATGTACCCCCTGGGGAGATGAATACCCGTCCTCAGGAATCGTAAAGGGAATTCTAAGCAGAGCGAGGCCCGCCGACAACAGTCGTACGCGCTACCTAATCTAATTAATATGGCAGTCCTCGGTAATAAAGTGACCGAACAATACCCGAACCCTGTAAAAGCGGTAGCAAAATTGGGAGATCCGTACCAGACCCAACTACGTCAGGGTCGCTATGCAGACCAAAGTCTCACAATCCCAGAGATCAAATGAGCAAGGGTCCAGGGAATCCAGGAACTAGGTTCGACTCTGCCAAAGCGGAGATCATAATTCCAAAGTATCAGCAGACCGAGGCACCTGTAGAAAGGTCCTGAGACCAAACAAGCGGAGGAGACTCGTCCGCATCTCCGTGTCGAACACTCCTGGAGGGAAGCGTCCATCGCTGAGCAAACGGGTCCGTCATCCAGCCGAACTGGTCCTCCTCCGTGGACTAAAGTCTTGATGCCGGGTCCTCCCAGAGAAACTATTCCATATGTACGAGAACTCGGGCAGAGGAGAGCATAGGAGGCACCCCCTTGCCTCCAATCCATCCTCCAGGACTCTACTCCTTGAGATGTAGAGGAGGTCGATATTTCCCTGGTTGAAAATGAAATCCAGGGACTCTAACAAGGGAAAACGCAGTTTGTGTCTGACCTTTCGGTTTGGGAGGTAGACCGTACAGCAAGATGTCCTATATCGATGAAGAGTCGCGTCCAGATCCCAACGCGTGGAAAACGAGAAAGATCTCTTCAAATAGTTCTGGAATTCCTGAATGTCCTCAATTCCTCCCAACCTGCCAACCAGGTTGAATTGTCGCCCAAATGACCGATGCACAAGATACCTATCTCACCAGGGAGAAAATAGAGGCCACCTTACCAGAACTGGGCCCCGCGGTCCCTAGAAGTTTCTTGAGGGCCGCATCTAATTCAAAGTAACCAATGAATAAACGTTCAATCATAGACTCGTGCTGGGACTCCGAGGGGCTCAGATCCCTTCATCCCAAGCACCTCCAGCAGACCAAATTGCGTTTAGGATAGGGTCATCTGCCACCCCAGACTCTGGGCCCCGTCTGGGATGTCATCCAAAAGTGGAGGAAAGTGTGAAATTCCGGATCAAGGGTCCAATCCCCTATAAAAAGTACGGGTTGGAGCCGAGATAAGCTTCCATCAAGTATTTCCATGTAAAAAAGGACACATATTATACTTCCTCGTATGTTTCGCTAGCACAACTCACTCGTGTAGCGGACAACAATCGCCTTGCCAGTGCGGACTTAATAGTATAAGCACTGCAGTGGGCTGCACTCAGGATCTCCTGAATACTAGACAGGTGCTTAACCAGCAAAACCACAGTGCCCCATGGGGGTCTAAGTCTGGGTTTGCGGCTACTTAGTTCTGGAGCCCGGCTGGGAATACCGCTCGAATTATCCTGCGGCTTCTCAAGCCAGCGGTCTACGGGCCCAGAAACGCACCGATGGTGCTAGGTGATCGGGCAGAGACCATTCCAAAGAAACCAGGTGAGCAATGGATCGAGGGTCGAACAGGGGTTCGTTTAAGGCGATCCACGAGACGACCTCTTCTTCCACGGTCGTCGGGGCCCCTGTAGTGGACTTTGTTCTAAGTGTCATCGGCAGGGAGATAGGGGCAGCACCCCATATAGTGACCGAGGCAAGTTGGGCAGCGCATGCAATGCACAAGCATGAGTATGTGGCAGTAGGCTTGGCATGCAGACATTCTGGCACAGACAACACAGGCCAGATCAATGGGGCACAGACAAAGCAGGCCAATCAGTAAGGCACAGACAAAGCCGGCCAAGTCCTGGGGCACAGATAAGTCAGGACCTTCAGAGATGTACAGGTAAGGAACTGCGCATTCCATTCTTCCGATAAAATGTACTTTTCGCTCTTCAGATAAGATGTACATAACACTTCTTCAGATTAATAGCACATAACACACTTCTGTGTAACTGTAATTAACACTCTTCTGTGTAACTGTACGTAACCTTCTTCTGTGTAACTTTACATAACACTCTTCTGTGCAGCCATACATAACATCCTTCTGTGTAAACATACAATACGTTCTTCTGTGTAACCGTACCTAACGCTCTTCCGTGTAACTGTACATAACGCTCTTCCGTGTAACTGTACATAACACTCTTCCGTGTAACTGTACATAACTCTCTTGTGTGTAACCGTACATAGCATTCTTCTGTGTAACTGCACATAGTATATTACTGTGTAACTGTACATAGCGTTCTCCTGTGTAACTGTACTTAGCATTCTTCTGTGTAACTGTACATAACATTCTTCTGTGCAGCTGTACATAACATTCTTCTGTGTAACTGTACATAGCCTTCTACTGTGTAACTGCATAGCATTCTTCTGTGTGACTACCTAGCATTCCATTGTGTAACTGTAGATAATGCACTTTAGTTAAATAGTGCATGACACTCTGTAAATAGTGAACTTGCATAATGAGTACCCCTGTAGTCAGGGAACTCACCAACTGAGTTACCTCACAAGAGGTGCTCCATTGGTCAATATGATAAAACAGAGCGCTGCAAGCAATCATCTGAACAAACAAAAAGGGGGGGATGAGTATAAGTGGTAACACTGCCGGCTGTGCCTGTAAACCTTAAGGGGTTGTGCACAGCTCTATATAGCAAGCCTGTGCTCTATACCATCCACTATGGTCCCCAGTAGCCTAACCTGCCAGCCACATGGGGCACAAAGCCAGGACAGCCTGAGGGTGCAATGCGCCCAAGTCATAGCTGAGTCCCAGTCAAAGCTACAGCACCTGTGACTGCCGTCGACGGAACTAATGCGGTAAGTCTGGAAACTGGCCAGCCCCGCCCCCACCCGGCCATGCGGTTGCGGGGAAGTGGATTCTCTGTGCCGCCGCACTGCATTGGAAGGTATCTACCATCTAGCCCCCCCCCCCGCACACTGTGTAGCACTGTTCCAGGAAGCACATTTAGTAACCATCTGAGGAGTGGCCAGTGGATGTATCTCTCTAGGCTGTAATGTAAGGACTGCATTTTCTCTGAAAAGACATTGTTTACTGCAAAAAGCCTGAAAGGAATGGTTAAACTCACCAGAACAAATAGAATGAGCTGTAGTTTGCTCTGGTGACTATAGTGTCTCTTTAACCCCTTAAGGACCAAACTTCTGGAATAAAAGGGAATCATGACATGTCACACATATCATGTGTCCTTAAGGGGTTAAGTGAAAATTCAAAGTGAATTTAAAATTTAAGGCCAGAGTTGCTCAAGTGAAAGAACAGCTAACAGAACATTTTTTCAGTTAGACTATTACTTTGAATTTAAAATTCACTTTGAATTCTCACTTTAGTAAATAGCCCTGTTAATGGTTGGTAATAAATGGATATCCTTGAATACCAAAGAATAAATGCAATACCAATTACGTGGCTGAAAATAATACAGTGTTTAAGTACTTGCTGATTTCTAAGAGACATCTGATTACTTAATAATTTGTGCGTAATAGATTTGCTTGTCATATCAATGAAATAAGCTTCACTGGCAACTTTGTGACATTGAGAGTTCTCATGTTCTAATAATTGTGTTATGATGTGTCTTCAGTTGCTGCAACCTTGTATTAACTGTTTGTTTATACTTTTCCTGGCAATAAAACATGCAGATGGAATAATGTACACTGGTTTTTTTTTTTTTTTAAATTGTTTATATATATATGTGTATATATATATATATATATATATATATATATATATATATATATATAATTAACCATTTAAGAACCGAGTTTCAGTTTGCTTGTTTTGTACTTAAGAACCAAAGCAACGTTGACATTTGTTTAACCCCTTCAGCCCAGTGGGAGTGGAACCCTGAGGGTGGGACCTAAAGACCATATAGTGCCAGGAAAACTAGTTTCTTTTCCTGGCACTGTAGTGATCCTTTAACATCTCCTCAGTACAGCAATACTCTTTGTATACCTTTGCAAAGAAACAATCTTAATCCCTTCCCTAATCCTATACCGAACTCTAATGCTAAATCAGATCATAATCCAATCTATTCCTAATCATAAACATAAAGCTCACCCTAATCCTAGTCCGAACCCTAATCCTATTTCTAACTCCTATAGCCCTAATCCTTACCTTAATCTTAATCATAACTCTAATAATAGCGTTAAAAGGATGCCCTCTGCTGATATCCGCAGAAAAATTCCCTTGCCTGCACTAATCCTAATCTGAATCCTAATCCGAATCCTATCAAAAGCATATGGGCATGGAGGAAATGTCTCTGCGGGTCTCCCACAATCAAGCTGCTCCAGAGAATCACCATGGCTGAGCGACATTGCTTCTTCAGTTGTTAGATCAATTTCAACATTTGACATTGTGACAAGCTCACGGCGTCATTTTCGTGAAAGTTTTCCATTTATCTTGATATCGCTGTATTGTGTACCTGTATTATACATAGAGCAGTGTGTGTCTGTATATGCAGTTGCGGGTCAACAATAGGGAGGGGGGGAGGGGGTTCCTATAAAGTATAATTAGGTGTGAAATGTATTCTGTGGGCTAATCAGGTTAAATGCTGCACTGTGAGTGACCACCTGCCGTGGGAGCCAGCAAATCTATCTACTACAGCAAGGGGCTGTGTTGATGTAACCAGAGATTGCTGTGAAGGGACAGTGGGTCCAATCAAGATAACCTTTTATTGTCATGGTGTATTGGCACAGGGGGAGGTGGTAAGTCTTGGAAGGAATCCCTTTGTTGCTTTGTATTTCTTTCCCTGTGATCTGATCTGTATTCCCATTGGTGAAAGTTTTGTGTAATGTTTATTTTACTGTATGCTGTGATCTTTGTTAGCTGGATACAACAAACAGGGTCAGATGGAGTCTGAGTTCCGAGGAGTTATCAAGAAAGAAGCTGGTATTGTCTCTTCCTTGAGGTCTCACAGGAAATGGTTATTCATTGTCCTCTATATAATAATTACTAATAATAGTATTGCCAGAAGACTGGATGGATAGAATATCATATAGTAACCAGATATCAGCTCAGTAAATCCTGCATATGCTACCAAAGGGGAGTCCTAGCATTTAGTGGAGCAGTTTAGTGCTGCAAGTTATGTAAAAAGAATACCCACTGACGATATATTAAGGCTGTATCGTCACATACATCATTTGGCTTTAACATGGCTGTGTAATACAAATGCAAATACAAACCTATAAAATTAATCATGCACTGCCGCCATCCCCATGTGTTCCCCATTAAAGGTTAATAATTGTGTTGGGTTTAGAAATATACCCCTCTCTTTCTCACTTTAATGGCCATTCGACTACTACATAAAAATCTCCTGTTATTTAAATGTGCATAGGAATTTGGGATAGTGCACAAGTAACTTTTTATTTCCTTGTTTTTTATTGTATATATTGGGGTTGATGTGTACTATAGTCATTGCCAACCAGAGTAGTGGGCGTTTGAGCGCAGGGCTTAATTTTGTATTTGGTTTTCTATTACATAGCTATACTACAGTGCTGTCTCCTACCCCATGTGCTCCCTATTAAGTGTGTATGGGTTTAGAAATATACCCCTCTCTGTCTCATTAGAGATTTTGCCTTTTAGTTGAAAGAAGCAAGGTGAAATGTTAGTGTTGGACTCACCTAAGAGATATTGCCTTGAAGTGGCAGGTGAGCTTACACTTGAATTTCACCTGTCTTGTTTTTTAATTACTCACTGTTACTAGTAGATAAAATAGAAGGTCCAGGCACTCCAAGGTACAAACCAGACAATTTTATTGAACCCACTCCATCACAACATTTCGACCTACACGGTCTTTGTCAAGCATTTGGTCTCTGGTACGGAGACTGTCCGAGTTGCACCCAGTTACATACTACTTAAAGGGACAGAGTGCAGTTCCACACCCTACCATAACTGTTACTAGTAGATGACTCATCTTACCTTCATTAACTGCTTAACTTTCTTTCCTTGGCACCACTTTTGAGCTTGTAAGTGGCTAACATTGGTACTAAAATAAGAAATAATGGTCTCAGGCAATTACAAAGCCATTATAATAATCATCTGAACACCATGATACTTTATTTCAGTGAAGTTGTTATGGGGCCTCAAGCTCCCCAGCGTTTACGTGATTATCTGTTCTGAAATGGGAACATAACATAACCCACAGGGCATGAAAATAAATATGACATAATCAGTCTAACAAGGTATGCTATGTTTAACCCCTTAAGGACCAAACTTCTGGAATAAAAGGGAATCATGACATGTCACACATGTCATGTGTCCTTAAGGGGTTAAGGAGGATCTGTTTGTCTAAATTGGATGTGCAAATGGTTTGTGGTCAACATGTAACTACAAGTGACACAACCAGAGCATTTGTAACAACCTTTCTTCTGTAAGGGTTTCTGAGCCTTGTGCAACAGGGTGCATTGGTTTTAAACAGAATATTTTTAACATTCTTACTTCTTCTGTATGCTGTCTGTTAGTTTCTGTAAAGACTGAAATTTGTAGTAGTCTCTAGACATGAGATTGCAGCTCTTTCTAACGGACAATGCAATCTGATCACTTGTGGAATCAAAGGAATTGTAAATTTAGAAGTTAGTTTCTTTGTACAAGTGGTGAAGTGCTGTCCAAGGACTAATGCAATACCTGCTTACTAAGACCCCTTTCAAGGAAAGACTATGTAATTGCCTCAATTTGTTGCTCACATCACACTGTATCAGAATTGTTCATTAGCATCCTTAAAAATTGTAAGAGAGTTTTTGAGAGATGATGGATGAAATATATTGGCGTGTAACAATGCATTACAGTCTGACACTTTTTATATATACAAAGTGTATCCAGCATGGTTTTACAGTTGGTTTTCAAAATTGTATGTTAAACCTAATTGAATATGGGTGCCCTCGTTCCTCAAATCCTCAACTATGAGCATACTAGAAATGGGTCCATTCCACACAATGAAGACGTTATCCACAAATCTATCATATATCAAGAAGAAACTATTGTAACTTAGCAAAATCTTTGCTCATTATTACTTGTATGTAAAACAGTTGCATAAGTTAAAGTTAAGTTGAACCCATCACCATTCTCTCTTGTTTGATGTATACTTTTTTTCATATCTAAAATAATAGTTGGTAAGAGTCAATTCCAAGCATTCCAAAATAAATTCAATAGCATATGTGGAAGTATTGTATAAAGACTCTCTGGCTATAGTCACAAATACCACATGATGGTTAGAAATGATAATGATTAAGTTTGTCACCAGTGTCTTTCAAATGCTTTAGCCTAGGGTTCCAATTTCTCTCCCTTTTTAATTTTTTATTGTTATTTTTAAATTATTTAAAAATTTTATTGTTACTTTTTTCTTAGGGTCTATGTAAGTACTTTTCACAGTATACATCTACCATGATTGTTTCCATCTACATTGGTTTCTATAGGTTGCACATAAGAGCGGTCCATCTTGCATTGATTTATCAGATTGCATTACTACTTTGGGTGATAAGACACACTTTGGCACTTTTTAATTCTAAGTATTCACACTTACCTGATAGAATGTTTCCTTGAAACCGGGACATGCATGTTCTGAAGTGGATTCCATGGTATCATGTTGTATCATGGCGTGTGTGTGTGTAGAGTGCATTATGGGAAAAATGCCATATACGGTTCTTTTATCTTTAGGATATTATTATGAAATGTATACCTATGATTGGTGTAAGTTAACATGTCTTACATTGTGTTATTTCAGTCCTTCAAAGGATAAAAAAACAAGGTTCCAAGAGCATGGGGATGAAGAGGGTTCGACCCACCACCTAACAGGACATCTAACAGTTATCCCTGAACTTCATCTCTATCCCTAACACCTATTTTTCTTCTCCTATTTCCTACTCTACTAAAAATAGAAAATGAAGCAGTAGACAGAGTAAACCAATTAAGTTCAACGACCGACCCTCAACAACGCATGCGTGCAAGCTATCATTCATTATTATGTACCAAGGGTTTATTTAACAGTATTGCCATGTGATGCATTGTTACGCAAAACATGTTGTACAATGTTATTGTCTCTTGACTCCTGTACTCTCTGAACAATCTGATGTATATCTCATCTACTTGCCTTTTTTGAAAATAAAGTATATAAAAAAACAAAAACAAAACAAGGTTCCTTTATAAAGCATTATTCAAAACCATGGTTAAAACAGTTTCTTTTTTTCTTCAGAAGAGATAAGGTGATCAAAGTGACCTGTAAGTGTCATAAAACTGTGTATGATTGTATATGGATCTGACAGGAGCCATAATACCACAAAGTAGGTCAGGATCATAATCTTAATTGCTCAAATTAGGACTTCTGACAGTATATGGGCAAAGTCCTGGCACCTTAAAAAGCTTAATTCAGCAAAATCCAAAGATGGGCTACGTTCTTTACTTAGGTTGTAGTAAGTTCACTTGTATTATTTATTTAAAATCTTAAATGTGGAGAAATAAGCTTGGATGTAATGTTTTTATGAAATATTCACGACTGTCGTGGGGGATAATTTCATGTTCATTGATCCCACACATTAATAAATGAATTGGGATAACAACCGATAAAAACCTTTATGATCTTTATTGAATAAATACAAACATGTATATAATACCCCTGTATAGATGACATCATAATCTCAAACTAAATATCCTGAACAGTGACAATGTATACATAGGTCACATAAACCAAGATAAAATAACTTGACAATAAACATGGCAAAATATGCAGGCTTCAATGGTAATATATTGCATGAATAAAAAAGCCAAAATACATATCAAAAAGCAATAGGCAAAAAAAGTTGTGTGTGAGGTTGACAGGATACCAAATTAGAACTCCCCACAATGTTTTGACTGGAAGTCTTTGTCAATGGAGGATGAAAAACAAGAGAGTGCTCTGTACTATACATGTACCAAAATAGAAAGGAGACCAAATACACCTGCAAGGTGGATGGCCACCCATAACAGGAGCACCCATGATCACATGATCATCGGTGGTAAGGACTCCAAGTAAATAGTAAAATATGATCATTTTGAAAAAGAAACAAAAACATGACAAATAACATGAAGCAATATACTCAAAGGAGATGTATAATAACAAAAAGAAATGACATATCCCAACCATCCAAATAGACAGAACATAATTGAAAATAAAGGCCTGGACACCAAGTGACTACAACACACAAAATGGGTTGTTTTTGTTAGCGTGTATAGTACTTTTATATTCCCCTTTGTGAACAGTCAAAAGCCTAGATGTCTGACCAACTTAGCCCAAGCCACAGGTAGGGCCGGTGCAATAATTTTTGGGTACAAAGCATCTTCACCTGTGTGCCTCTTAACCCGCCTTTTGTTTCTTATCCCCTTTTTAAAATGTCTTACTCCCTTTAGTGTCTTATCCCCTATTTTTTACTTGCATCTCCCTTGTATATCTCTTACTACCCCTCTTTGTGTTTCTTACTACCTCCAGCCTCTGTGTCTCCTTCTTTCCCAGACCCTTTGTGTCTTTAACTCTTACCATTACCTTTGTGGGTTTCTCTTTCACCACCAGCCTGTCTATCTCCCCCCCCAGCCCCTTTGTGCCTCTTTTTCCTCTTCTCCAGCCCCTCTGTGTCTCTTTCACTCCCAACCCCTTTTGTATTTCCACTCACAGGCTCTTCTGTGTTGTGCTTTCATCCCCAGCCCCTCTGTGGACTTTCTCACTCCCAGGCCCATCTGTGTGTCTTTCTTCCCCCTCATGTCCCTCTGTGTGTCTTTCTCCTCACTCTCCCCTCCATGTCCCCTAGTGCCCCCTCCCCTGTCCCATAGCATTATTTCTCCCCTCCCCTGTCCCATAGCATTCTTTTCCCCCTCCCCTGTCCCACAGTGTTCTTTTCCCACCTCCCATAGTTTTCCCTCCCCACCTCCCATAGTTTTTCTTCCCCCCACTCCCCCCATAGTTTTCCTCGCCTTAGTGCCCAGGTGTGTCTCCTACCTTTATTGTAGCGTGGCCGAGCGGACAGCAATACAGGAGCTTTAGTCTCCTGTACCCGGCCGGACTGACTGGAAGTGCTCTCTCAGTGAGCACTTCGTTTCAGTCTGTCCGGGTACAGAAAACATAAGTTCCTGTACCGCGGTGCGCACTACTCCGCTCGACCACGCTACACAGAGTGCCTTGCAGGGGGTAGCTCTGTGCGTCCACCTCCTGCCTGTCACTCCAATCTAATGCCCCCCCGGACCGGTGCGCCCTAAAGCAGCCACTTGCGCCACCTTATGTACACGCCAGCACTGGCCACAGGGACATTTGCGTAGATAAATCACCTGGTCAGATTGGCAATTGAGAAATGCCCTGATCAGAAATTGTTTGCCTGTTCTCGGATGGATGAAACCTGTGCCAACCACAATACTGTTGCAATTGGCACAATGTCCACACCTATACATTTCATGTATAGGGAAAGCAAATTTGAACACATTCTGGGCTGTGCCAACCATTTACAGGGTGCTACTAACACTTTGATGACTCTTTGAAAAAACTGACGCTTTCCATTCTACAAGTATGACCTGCAGCCTACCATATAGTCAATTATTACATATTCGTATTGTTTCTCAGGAGGACAACCTTGAAACGCAGGCATTTAAGATGATTGATGATTTCACCTCTCATGGTTACAATTGCATTACAAGACTCAGAAAAGGTTAGACAACTGTAGAGTAGTGATTTGCTTAAATCCTCTGGTAAAAAAAAAGTATTTGAATCATCTTCCTTGTGTTACCACAATTTCCAGAAGATCAGGCTTTGTTAAACATATCATCAATAAGCACTGGCATCACAGTCTGGAAATATATTCATAAACAGGACTATACATAGGGCACATGTTTACCCATTTAGACTATAAAAAAGGATATTTAGTCTAAGGCAAAGGAAAGGGTTATTTTGGGTAAAAACAATAAGGATATGTAAGTATAGGTGACCCAACGCAAAATTAGGCCACACAAGTACAGGAAAACCAATAACAGTTTGTATTACCGGGCCGGAGTGGCTGGGCCTAATGTGCAAAGAACAAAAGAGTCCACCTTGTTCCATGCCACTTTCACTCAATCCTGAGGATGTGCAGTAAACATTATTTTTTTACACCTTTTTATTGTATAGACGTTTTTTAGTTCTCTATACAATATTTTAAATATGAAAGTCAACTTGAGCCTAGGGTAGCTGTAACGGATCACCTGGCACCCCGACTGGGTACCTCCGTTGAAAGATGCTCCTAGCGCTTCCAGAGGACTCCAAGCACTGCAGCAGACACCACAACCACCGAACCGGAGAAGCATATGAATCCTCTCAAGCATATGAATGCTGTAGACAGTTGAATAGGAACCATACGAATAGGTTTACTCTCCTAGCAGTCAAACTGGAACAGCATACAATAAATCCTTCCCCCAATAATGAGACGACACTTCACTTTGAGGGTTAAAACAGGAACTTCCTGTACTGTCACATACAGTCTCTTTTATTCCCAATCCACAAACATAGTACAGCCCACAGGGCGTTACAAAACAACCAATCACATCACAGTTACATCCCACATATTCCCTCCCCTTATCCTGAGAGGAAACTCAATTATACATACAGTTAAAACATACTTTCTACCCAACTTTCATAACTCCAAAACCATACATCACATTCACATAAAATTACATATTCACAATCAATCCATTCAGGGGAACAACATATTCAAAAATGGCACAAATCAGACAAGGGGTTCAAAAGTTAGTAAAAAGTCCTTTGTGACTAAATGAAGCATGGCTTTCTGGCCCAAACCAGTTTCAGAGTCTTCTATCCTGGAGATAAGTAATTCAATTATCTCCCAGGACAGACACAAGACTCCATTAAGCACATGGTTGCAAAAGACACAAAACACTTTAAAATACATAAAGTCACATTTACACATAACACACAGACATTTCACATATCCCCAGATAGCTGGGATCTGAGTGCACATTATTAGATGAATGGCACTCAGATCACACAAATAAGCCTTCTGCAGGGGAAATAAACGGTTTAACCTGCAGGGCCATAGTCCAAAGGGAGCAGGCGAGCAACCAGGCTTCTCCAGTTCACAGTGGCGAGGTTGGTTTCGCCACACTTCTCCCCCTTACCAACTAGACTAACAGGGTATCTGACCTCCTGCCGGTCAGTGCCCTGGTTAGTCCAGCAACCCACCCACAAAACAGAAACAGCAGTACAGCCCACCCACAATAACTGGTTACTACACCTGGGTAGAGGAGAACTTTGTCCATGTCCAGGTGCCTCACCACGACTGTGTGGGCAACTGTTGGGCTGCCTTGGTGGGTTGCTGAGTGGGCAGAGACCAGCGGTACTCTGCCCTGATGCCAGTGCTACCACGGAAGTAGCCTGGTGGGAGCCTGGTTGTGGGAGGGAGAGACCGACTGTCTCCCCTCTGGATACACCGCTTTGTGGCTGGGGAACAGGACCGACTGTCCCTATCCCTTGTGCTGTAAGTGCAGAGACTACAGTCCCATCTGCACTGTTGGGGGGTGTAACATCTCCCCTTGCTGGGTTAGGCTGCCACTGGAGAGAGGGTGTAACAAGTTCCTCTCTCTGAACTGTAAACTGCCGCTGGGGAGAAGGGGTATCAGGCTCCTCTCCCTGACACTCTCTCTGCTGGTGGAGAGGGGGAGCAGCTGTCTCCCCTTTCATTATTTTGTCCTGTGGTTGGGGTGCGAGACTGACGGTCTCTGCTCCCTGCAGGACACTCTGCCGCTGGGGAGGAAGGACGGCACCTTCAGCTCCCTGGGGTACACACTGCCGCTGGGGAGGAAGGACTGCACCTTCAGCTCCCTGGGATACACACTGCAGCTGGGGAGGAAGGACGGCACCTTCAGCTCCCTGGGGTACACACTGCTGCTGGGGAGGAAGGACGCACCTTCAGCTCCCTGGGATACACACTTCCGCTGGGGAGGAAGGACGCACCTTCAGCTCCCTGGGACACACACTGCCGCTGGGGAGGAAGGACGACACCTTCAGCTCCCTGGGATACACACTGCCGCTGGGGAGGAAGTACGGCACCTTCAGCTCCCTGGGACACACACTGCCGCTGGGGAGGAAGGATGCACCTTCAGCTCCCTGGGACACACACTGC